CCCAGTGGCTCAGGGAGGGGTGGGACCCTGTGGGGTGCCAAGAAGCAGGGTCCCTTTAAGAATCTGCAGCTGGTGCGGTCCCTGCGCTCGGGCTGGGACAGAGACAAGTGCCCCTGGAGCTCTAGCTGCCGGCGCCCGACGTGGGTGGGGGCCCGCCAGCTTTGTGCCACAAATAACCCCTTAGCATTCCTGTTGCCGGGGCGGGGGGCAGAGAGGCTGAGGCCGCAGAGGGGTGGCAGTGTGAAGGTGAGGGGGCGAGTGAGGGGACCCCGTCCTGGCTCAGACACTGCTCGGCGCGGGACAGCCCAATGGACCTGCAGCTAGGCAGGGACTGAGGACAGATGGGGCCCAGGGGCCCAGTCCCGAATCTGCCATCTGCATCAGCAGCTGCCCCTGTGCAAAGAGGGTGGGACGTCCTCCTCTGGAGCTGGCCAGGAATCAGGCCCCAGTCGGTCTCTGCGGCTGTGTTTGCCGGGCTGGCCCCCTCTGGCAGGGGACAGACAGACCCGGTCGCTGCTCTTCGGGATGTGGGGATGGGCGGCTGTTTCTGCCTGATGCCAGCGCGGCCCCGGGGGGCTCGCAGCGCACCCCTTGGCGTCTCCAGATATGCCTAACGTTGCCCTTCCTCCCCAGCTGCACCGCTGGCCCCTGCCGGACAGACAGGCGCCATGGTGGAGTACTACGAAGTGCTGGGCGTGCCCCGAAACGCCTCCTCAGACGACATCAAGAAGGCGTAAGTCCTGCCCCATCCCGGGTCGCCCACGCTTTCCACTAGCAGCTGCTGCCTGGCCCGGGTCCCCCTGTGCTGCGTCAGAGTCAGCACCGGCTCAGGGTACAGTGGGGCTGGATGAGCGCTCGAGGGGCAGCGGGGCCAAGTGGGCAGGGCCCTGGGCTGGCGCTTGAGAGCCCTGGGATCTGGCCGTGCTCTGCCACTGACCTGCTGAGACCTTGGTCAAATCCCTTCCCCTCAGGCCTCACTTCCGCGGCTGGGCGATGGCGGCGACAGGCCATCAGTGGGCTGTTTGCTTCACGCTTGGGGGCAGGGCTTGTCCCACTCTAGGCCTGTGCACTCCCCCCCCCCCGCCGATCTTGGGCAGGGCCTGACCTAACACTGCTCCCTCCCTGCGGTCGGGGCAGGGGCTTGACCCCACCGGTGGATCTCGTGCAAGATCTCTAGGTGTTACCACAATACACCTGATTAATCAGCTAATGAGTTTTGCCTCTGTTACCCCTCAGCTGTCACTGCCTGGAGCCAGCCTGTCAGTCTGACCAAATGGTGGCGTGGGGGGCTCTTGTGTGGGTGACGGGGACAGGGAAGGAAATGCTGTTGCTTCCTTCCTGAGTTGTGACTTGGAGCCGGGCTGGTGGGCGCTCGTTCGGGGGGGGGAGGGCAGGGAGGGGGGCCCCGGGTGCTGGTTGAGGGGGCCTGTCCCGGTGGGTGCAAGTTCGAGGGGGGAAGGGGGAGTATGGAGGGGGGCCCCGGCTGCTGGGTGCTGGTTGAGGTGGGCTGGCCCGGTGGGCACTGGTTTGAGGGGGGGGGAGAGTATGGAGTGTGTGGGGCAGCGTCTTGCCCTGGCGCGTGGCGGCTCAGGCGGAGGCCCTGACTGGGGAACATGTGCTGTGATCACAGGTCCTGCCACTGCTCGGGGGGGCGTGCAGAGTGAGATGGTGGGGGGCTGTCCCAGGGCAAAGGTGGTGTCCCAGGAGCTAAGAGCAGCTCTCCACGGAAGCCCCTGGAACCGAGGCTGTGCCCGGGCGCTGGTGGGAACCTGGTGTAACAATGCTGGTTCTGGCGGGACCCAACTGAGAGTGCCAATTCAGGACAAATTGCTCAAACAGGGCAGTTACAGCCCTAGGCTGGGGTTTTTCCACCTCTAAGGCAAACCAAACCAGCCAGACAAAGAGGACTTTGATCTCACCCCACTGGCGAACCACAAGTCACACAAGCAATTCCCTTAGACACTCCAGTTTCCCAGTATCACCACCAGTGCCACTCGTTATGGGGACAGATGGTTATGAAAACCAATACCCCAGTAAAACCAAAAAGGTTCTCCCGATCCCAAAGGACCAAGCCCCAGACCCAGGTCAATATACAAATCAGATCTTACCCACAAATCACGCTGTTGCCAATCCGTTAGAATCTAAAATCTAAAGGTTTATTCATAAAAAGAAAGAAATAGAGATGAGAGCTAGAATTGGTTAAATGGAATCAATTACACACACAGTGATGGCAAAGTTCTTGGTTCAGGCTTGTAGCAGTGATGGAATAAACTGCAGGTTCAAATCAAGTCTCTGGAACATCCCCAGCTGGGATGGGTCATCAGTCCTTTGTTCAGAGCTTCAGTTTGTAGCAAAGTCCCTCCAGAGGTAAGAAGCAGGACTGAAGACAAGATGGAGATGAGGCATCAGCCTTTTATAGTCTTTTCCAGGTGTAAGAACATCTTTGTTCTTACTGTGGAAAATTACTGCAAAATGGAGTCTGGAGTCACATGGGCCAGTCCCTGCATACTTTGCTCAGTCACAAGGTGTATTTGCCTTCTCTCAATGGGTCAGTTGTAGCTGATGGTCCGTAATGGGCCATCAAGCAGGCTAGGCAGAGCTAACACCAGCTTGTCTGGGATGTCACCCAGAAGCACAGCACAAGTTTGCAATACAGACAGTATAGAGCCAATATTCATAACTTCAACTACAAAACTGATACACACATATAGACAGCATAATCCTAACCAGCAAACCAGAACCTTGTCTTGGACACCTCATTTGACCCCCTTTATACCAGATTTGGTGCCACTACAGGACTTTGGTTGCAATCATGATCTATATGGTCCCAGATTATATCAATAACGTCACACCTGGCACGGGGTGGCTGCGCACCCGTCGATTGGTCTCGGGGTTGGCTGGCGCGGGAGGTGGGGGGGGAGAGAGAGGCTGGCACCTGCTGCCGGCAGAGCTGGGGGTCACTGCCTGTCTCTCTCGACACTGTGCAGGTACAGGAAGGCGGCGCTGAAATGGCACCCGGATAAGAACCCGGAGAACAAGGAACACGCCGAGCGGAAGTTCAAAGAGATCGCGGAGGCCTACGAAGTGCTGTCGGACAGTAAGGGGCTGGCGTCTCCCCTCCCCCTTCGTTTCCTGACACCTGGCGCTGGACCCGTGGGGCTGGAAGGGCCCTCGAGGGGTCGCTTAGTTCAGCCCTGCACCGCAGCAGGGCCAAGCGGCCTAGGCCAGCCCTGACGGGCTGTTGCTAAAGCCTCCAGGGACAGGCTCACCGGCCCCTGGAAGCCTGCTCCTGAACGTAGCTCCCGGGGGGTCGAAAACTTTTCCCGCTCTCGCCCCAAGTCCCCCGCGCTGCGGAGCAAACCCAGCACTGGGGCGTCCACATGCAGCGTAGCCCCGGGGCTGGGCAAGGGACTCGAGCACCCCCCCTGCACTGCAAACCAGGGCTGGACCTGGCTCTCAGCCAGACCCCGCTCTGCAGCCCTTCTCACCCGGGGCTGGCGCTTGGGCTGCGTCCACACTGCAAAGCGACAGGGCTTGGCCCTCGCCCAGCGGGACTCTGGCTCTGACCAGCTCTGGGCCTGAGTGCTTGCTGAGCTGTCTGCCTGGCGCGTGTGTGGACGGAACGTGGGCTCGAGCCGGGGTCAGAGCCCAGCCTTAGTGTGCAGTGTAGACAGGCCCTTAATCCCCATCCTCTGGAGCCTGCTCTCAGGCCTCGTCTCCAGACAACGCGCCAGGTTTTAACCCTCCCTCGCAGGGCAGGTGCTAAACCTTGGATCGGGTGTGTTGCTCTCCGATTGCTTCATGTCTTTCCTGATGCGCAGCCCCCAGACCTGGCCGCAGCCTGCTGCTGAGGCCTCCCCAGTGCCGAGCAGAGCGGGCCAATGACCCCCCGGTAACACCCCAGCGTGAGCAGCCTTTCCCTGGCCGCGTCCCGTGTGGACTCCTAGTCAGTGTGTGATCCACTGGGACCCCCAGATCCTGCCCAGCCAGTTCCCCAGGTTGGTGTTGAGGGGAGCTGCTGTGCTCTGTATGGAC